GAACGCACCACATAACAGCAAAAGGCTCATGGTCTCCAGAGATTCTTGACTGCTTGCTAGTGCAAGTGATTTAGAACATCTATCTATGAAAAGAAGAAAGAAGCTGCAACTAAGAAGTCACTGGTTTGCCTAAGTCAATTTCAAAGGGAAAACAAATACCTTAGAGAAACAAATCCTTTCACTGAGTTACTTTATAAACAAAAAAACAGCCATAAAATAAAGTGCTAGTAAATTTACTTGTTTGCTGTGTTTTCATCCTTTTTTGCCAAACACAAACAAGCACACATCAACTATTCCAGGCAACTGAAATTCACAAAGAGCAATGGCACTAAAAGATAGGAAATGTATTTATTAAGAATCTCTTGACACCAGGTACGTCTTCATTCGTTCGGAGAACCTCCACAGAAGCACATGTATACCCAAGACTCAGCCTGTACTGCTGGCATATTATCCAGTGAAAGAGCACAACTGCACACAGGTGATCTTGCTGTACTACCACTCTCCTAATTAGCTGCTGTTCTTCAGTTTTGCTATCATTTCAATAATGGGTAAAATTAATTTTATTCATTTTCCATTTCCTTACTCTCACTGACACTCTACAGTTTGTCTTTAAAACAGAAAGGTTTGTTTTGTTGTAAAGCAAAGAATTACAAAATCATCAGCACTGTTTTCTCAACAGTCTCTTTTGTTTAAGCTTACTGAGCTACAGATCACTTTTAAAAAATACCAGTAATGAAACCAGAAAGAGATTTATCCATAAGGACGCTATGATTAACAAAGGTAAGTGAAAAAATTAATCATCTAAGACTGCAAACTCCCCATATTTGCATATGTAACAGCAGACTGAAAGCAAATAGCTTTAACGCAGTAACAAAATATGTAAGTGGAACAGAGACAAAATAATTTCCATTTTCTTTCCCATTCTCCACACAGGACAGGGAAGCAGTTTGCCTGCATGCTTCCCAGAGGATCACGGTTCTAGATTTATCAAATACAATACCAGTGGCAAACTATAGCAAGAAAAAATCTCCAGCCTTAGTCCTTATAAAACACTGAATATGTAACTAGTGTAAGTATCCAATCTTTCTTCCAACAGTTACGAGGAACACTTAGGAAAATATCAGGTGTTCTCCTACTACAAATTAACCATCTATAGTTGCAAAACAGTGCCCAAGGCAACCATACCCTATTCAACCAATGCACACCGTTCCCTTCCCATTACTCTACATGCTGTTAAGTGAATGCTCCCTACCTGACATACCACACAAACAACTGTGTGCAGCAGATCAGAAGAATGGGCAAGGTACACAACTTGGCAACTCTTACATGTTCAAACTGAGAGTTATCAAGCGTATATGAGAATTTTATATTATACAGTTAAGGTTTTGGGCTTTGTTGTTTTTGTTTTGGTGTTTGTTTGGTTTTAGTTGTTTTGTTTGGGTTTTTCCATGGAAAGACTGATTAAACTCATGTTATCACTGCGATGTTTATAACAGAGGTGCTAGCTGCTTTCTTTTTAAGAATAGACAGAGAAAAACAAACACAACAAACTTTCTAACCACTTCTCCACATACCAGTTATGAGGAGATCCTTCTTCCCTTGGCAAGTTCTGAGTAATCTATGTTTCCATTATAATTTTCAAAGGAAAAGCAAAAGCTAAAAAACATTATAAGTCAACAAACTGCTAATCATACACTAACAAAAACAAGCACCTGATACAATTTTATAGTATTTAATGTCAGAAATATCCTAGCAATACCTTTATTGCACTGTTATTTCAAATAACATCATTTGCTACTTTGACCACGGTGTGCATGTGATCAACAGCATTACTCTCCTTATATTTCAATTCCCTGGGTGTATTAAGTCAGCACTACTGCTAAAGGTCTCCTGTCCACCTTTGGCATCTGCCCATCCATTCCCATACATTTTCCCTCCTCCTTATGCTATCAGCCATCTATGTAGCTGCAAGGGTAGCCCAGATGAAGGAGCCAGGCTGGAGCAAAGCTAGCCATTCAAACCAAACTGTGGGCTGGCACAGCCCCATTTTCTCCATGCTGCTGACACAGGTGTGCAACCCAGGAAGAAAATTTCTCTACAAAGTAGCAAGCAAATTCTGGTGAGTAAACATGCTTGGATAGCTCAGTTCAAAGTTTAACAGCACCAGAGTAGCACCAAGGAATCACAACTGAAAGATCTTTTACAAGAACAGATACATCTAAAGAAGCTTTTTCAGATAGGTTTCTTGAATCTGTAACAGAAACTGCTGTTACTCCAAAGGAAAACATCCAAAACAGCCAATCCATAGAGATGGGGATTGGGTATGTACCTAGAACTCGTACAACAGATCAAAGCAGAGCCCAAAGCTAAGGACATAACGCTCATGTGGATAGCAACATGTCTGGTTGCAGAAGGATGGCTCCTGAAGGGGAATGAGACACAAGTTGTATGAGTTAAGGAGCCACTAATCTACATCCAGATCTGGAACATGACAAACCTGAATCTCTTACATTATGTAGCTGTGCACCCCATCTGATCAAGGGATTATCCCATCAGTCTTATTCTGTCTTATGTAAGACAATTTTTTTCATACTTGTAGTGCTGTCAAGTGAGCGAGCTAGGTCACTTTGTACTCAAAGCCACATGCTGCTTATTGGTTTTCTAAGCAACTGAGGAAACCAAGCTACCCAAACATAAAGTCTGGCAAAATACAAACCCTCAAATCAAGAATTCAGGAATTGTTTTCCTCTTCTCACTGGGAGCTCCTGAAACTAATAATAACAATAAAAATCCCCAAACAATTGTGAGTTTGTCCCCTAGGTAGTTGCCATAAAGTACCCCATAGTACCATCCTACTGTCACAGTACACAAACTGTAGGATATTAGGGTGTGCTTCTGACAGCACGTGAAGAAGAACCACATAGGAAAGGAACAAGTGACAAATAAAGAAGCATGGTTCTTTGCTGGAGCAGAAATCAAAACACACATCACCCCCAATCTACCTTAGGGTTTTTTTTTCCCCCCTCCTTAAATATTTTTCAAACAGATATAAGGGAAAAGAACCTAAGGGGCCTTTGACTGCTTTTCCAAACCTAAAATATCCCAATGTGTGAGATAATAATGGCTCTAAGGCTGAAATCTGACAGCTCTTTTCACCACACTTCATATCGACCTGTGGTTTGCAAACAGTGAACCTGAAAGCAGTTAAACCTTTTTGAGAATTCTGGCTGAACTGTTCAGAGCATTCAGTTACCAACTATCTGAGATTGAATATCACAGGACTATAAGCAAACCACACACCAGCAGGTCGTTTTTGATACATAATCTGAACAACCAACCTTGCACAACAAACTTTCCAAGCTTACAGCATTACAACAAGCATGAAGTAGTTTTTAAACAACTTAGAGAAGCTGGGTTGTATTTTTCTAACACACTCTCTAAGCCAGCCTTTAAAAGTGTTTGGCCTGCAGAGCAATACAACCATACATCTCTGTAGATTCATACCAGGCATGTAATCAACAGTTACGGCTTGCTGACAGATATGCAAACTGGGTGTCTTGAGGAATAAAAGGATTCCACTGACAGAAGAAATGTTTTCAGCTCCTAACTCACTATTCTTCTTGCCTCCCATAAGCCAAAAGCTATTGTGAATAAGCTGCCATGTGCACAATTATTCACTGCCTGTTTGTTATTGCCAGCTGTATGTAAACATTGCAAAGAATACTTCACATTATTTTTCTATATTCAGTATTTCCTATAATAACTGTAATATATTTAAAGCAATTGTTCAGAAGGATGAATCTAATGAAAGATCATTTAAATATCTGTTCTTTCTTCACTGGAAATCTTAGCTATGAGAGCTTTCTCTCTATATTCCAGTGGACAGTTGCACGTGCTCTGGATGCCACAGTGCTTTCCAGAACCCAAAACCTCAATACCAAGCATTACATAATTAGTACACAACATGCTTCAAAGTCATGGTCACAAATAATTAATTACACATTCTGAATGCAAATCACAGAATCACAGATACCTCATAACACACAAGAGTGGTGACGAGAGAAGCTGGGACCATCCCAAAAGATAGTCCAGTTAAATTTATAGAATCACAGAGTCGTCAGGATTGGAAGAGACCTCTGGAGATCATCTAGTCCAAACCCCCTGACCAAGCAGAGTCACCTGGAGCAGGTGACAGAAATGCATGCAGGTGGGTTTGGAATGTCTCCAAAGAGGAAGATTCCACAACCTCCCTGGGCAGCCTGTTCCAGTGTTCTGCCACCTTCAACATAAAAAAGTTCTTTACCATGTTGAGGTGAAACTTCTTTTGTTTTAGTTTATGGCCATTGCTCCTCATCCTACTGCTAGGCACCACCAAAAAGAGTCTTGTACCATCCTCTTAGCACCTGCCCTTTGAGATATTTATATGCATTAACTGGATCCCCTCTCAGTTTTCTCCAGACCAAACAGGCCCAGCTCCCAAAGTCTCTCTTCATAAGAGAGATGCTCCAGACACCTCATCATCTTTGTGGCCTCTGCTGGACCCTCTCCCGTAGCTCCTTTTCCTTGTTGACCTGAGGAGCCCAGGACTGGACAGGTTCTCCTGGAGCTCGGGGGTTGTCCAGGGCCGGACAGCGGTGCGCTCAAGGCACAGATGCGCCCTGACACCCTGGACGAGCCAAGGAAGCGTCGCACTCGCCGTGCGGGGCAGCGCCCGGGCCATCGCCCCTATGACACGGGCGGGACGCGCTCACCGCCCGGCACCGAGCCCGGCGCGGCCCCGGGGGCTCCTGGGGGCGGTTCGGGCCCCTCCGACAGCCGGTCCGGGTCGCAGCCCAGTCCGCGGGGCGGCCCTGCGCGGTGTCCCGTGGGCCGGAGCAGCTGGGCCCCGCCGGCCCCGGGCCCGGCGCCACGAGCCCCAGCGGCCGCGGGCCCTGCGCGGAGCCGCTACCGCGGCCGCTGCCCCCCCCCCCCCACACCGCGCCCCTCGGGCCGGGTCTCACCTGGCGGGGGCAGCCCAGGCCCGTCAGCGCCGGCGACCGCCGCCGCATTTCGAAAGATCCGCCATTTTCAGCCCGTCACCGCCGCTCCCGCCCCCGCCGCACCTGCCCCCGCCGCCCCGCCCCGGCACCGCCCCGGCACCGCCCCGCAGAGCCGCCAGCCCCGGCCCCTTCCGCACCGCCGCGTCCCGCGCAGACCCCGCTCCTAGGGGCAGCCTCGCCGCTCCCCCGCGGCTGCTCTGACCGCGCCGCCCCGCCACGGCTCTGGGCGCAGCGGCCTCCGGCGAGCGGCGGGGACAGGACGGGACGCGCCGGGCGGGCGCCCCTGCGGCAGAGGGGCAGCCGGGACCGGCCGTCCGCGCCATCCCGCAGGGAAGACCGCCGGGGTCACTTGGGAGCACGGTCCGCCGCGGGCAGAGCGCTCGGCGAGGCCGGGCCTGCTCCTTCTCGGCGGGAGGCGGCTGTCAGCCGTGCCCGGCACCCCTTTCCCCGTCCTCCTGCCGCCACTTTGCCGCCCCTCGCACTCACCGGGCGGGCGGGAGCTCTCCCTCCTCCCGCGCTGGCAGTGCCTCTCCGCGGTGCCGGCGCCCCCCCAGTGCCGCTCCCGGGGGTGGCGGCGGCGGCCGCGCCCGTGCCGATCCCGCCGCCGCGTTTGTTCAAAATCACGCGCCCCGCGCCATTCCCCCGCCGCATCCCATAATACTGCGCCGCGCCGCCCTGGCAACCGCCGGCGCAGCAGCGCTCCGCGCTTCCGGGAGCCGCCCCGCCCCGCCGGGCGCTTCCGGGGCCGCGCGCGGGCGCCACCCGCGAGAAGGAGAGGAGGAGGCGGCAGGGAGGAGGGCTCGGCCTTTCCTCGCGTGCGGGATTTGCGCGCGCGCGCCGATCCCGTGGGATATCGCACGCTGGGTCCGCCCGGCGCAGCCCCGTCCCGCTCCCGCTGCCCGCGCTCTTCTCCCCCCCGCCCCCCCCCGTTAATCACGTGACCGCCGCCGCGCGCGCGGCTCCATGGTGGGAGGAGGCGGTGGCGGCTCCCAAGATGGCGGCGGGCGCGGTGAGGTTGGACCTGGCGCAGCTCATGAACTCCAGCGGCTCCCACAAGGACCTGGCGGGAAAGTGAGTCGTCCCCGCGGCGGGGGCGAGGGGTGCGAGCCGGAGCGGGGTCGAGAGGGAGGTGCTGGGCCCTGGGAGGGCCGAGGCGGGTCTTACACAGCGGTCGCGCTGCTTTAAATAAAAAGGAGACGGAAAGATTTCACCTCGTCGTTCTGCAGTTTCTTTTTTTTGCTTGTTTACGGGCTCCCCGCGTGTCCGTCCGCCCCTCAGGGCTCGGCTGCTGTGCCACAACGATAGGTCAGAGAGTTTATTTGCCCCTGCTGCCATAGATATGTTAGCGACTCTATTATTATTGTTATTATTATTATTTCCATTATTTTAATTACTTTTTTATTTTCGATGGCAAACCTTCGGCGTTGAAGTGCTTGCGGCGCGATGTGCCGCATAGGTTCTTACTACCCCGAGAGATGCGGATCGGCCACGTGGAATTCTTCGAGTCCCAGTCCAGTTGCTTGTGTTCTAGGGAGCCTGAGGGCTTGTCACTTCTAGGACTTGACGTGTAAAATCTTGGAAATTTCCCCCTTAAAATATGGCTTCAGCGTGGATGTAGCAGTTCCTCAGTGTCGCAAACGCTGAGGCAAAGTTTAATGAGCTCTAAGTTGCCATTTTTGCAGGAAAAAAACACTTGAAAGTGCACAGTCTGCACTGTGCTCTTGTCAAGTGGATATAACATGCTGTTCACCCCTCACTCACAACACTGCTTCTCAGTCTCATTGAATGTGCCGTTTTGGACATCTTTTTTCTTTATTAGGCTGAACCCATGAACGATAACACTTTTCATTACTTTTTCTGTTCACTGTCCTAGGCATAGGATATTTTTTTTTTTAAACCTTCAAGATTGCACTTATATCCCCAGATAACAAAATGATGAGCTATGTTGTCTGAGAATCTAGTCCTGGGTTTTAAGAAAAGCCAGATACTAATTCCAGGTGAATTCCAGGAAAATTGCCACCTCAAGGCAATATAGAAAATAAAAATTAGGGCTCTGAAATAGAAAACAAGCAGAGAGGCAGAACTTCTTGTGATTTTTTTTTTCTTTTAATCTTGGACAGATACCGTCAAATATTGGAAAAAGCCATTCAGCTGTCGGGTGTAGAACAACTTGAAGCTTTGAAAGCTTTTGTAGAAGCAAGTAAGTAGAATTGGTTACACGCTGAGTGGAGGCCAGAGGTCTGTGGGATTGCATATTTGTAAGCTCTACCTGAGGCTACATAAACACATGATGTTTAGGTCCTGTTGGAACTCACAACAGGAAGAGGAACTGTCATCACCTCACTGAGAAGTTCAGAGGGAATGAAATTGTTAAGGGGTTTTTGTGTTGTATTGAGTGTTTGGCATATTGAGCAGCTCTGTAAATTACACCTGTTGTAATTATTTTAAAGTTGAGAATAAACTTAGTGAGATTTAGCCTAAGGGTTTACTTTGTCCGAGATATTTCAGCAACTGAGGACAACGATTCAGAATGAAACACCTGCCTAAGCTATAAATTGTAAATTGTGAAAAATTCATTATTGTCTGTCAGGGGTTAGAAGTCTGGTGACCTGTAGTGTAAACAGTTTCTGAAAGAAAAAAAAAATCACCTTTAAAAACAATCCCCTTCACTTGGATGCAGTTTTAAAAATTGGAATATTCAAATTTATTCTAAAAGCAAATGATCACTTATAGTGAAAGCATTGACAAGTGTTGCATCTCTTTTTATCTCTGACCCAGTGGTGAACGAGAATGTCAGTCTGGTGATCTCACGTCAGCTGCTGACAGATTTCTGTACCCATCTTCCAAGTCTTCCTGACAGCACAGCCAAAGAAATCTACCACTTCACCTTGGAAAAGATACAGCCTAGAGTTATTTCATTTGAAGAGCAGGTGAGAGATCAATGATGAGGAGGTTTTGGTTTGAGGGTTTGGCTTTGGTTCCCCTCCTCATCCCCCTTATCTGCTGACTATTTTAAGCCTTTAAAAAAGCTGTTCAAGACAGATACCCCTACTTAGAGTTCAGTTTGGCGTTCCTGTACACGGAAAACCTGCAGAGAGTATTTAGGACTGTGGAAAGAATACAGGCTTAATCACTTCATCATGATGCTGGGCATGTAATTCCTCTGCTACCAGGAAATGGCTGCTTACAATGAAACAATACTTGAGCTTGGAGTTGCTGTTGAGAGACAGACTGGTACTCATTGTATTGCCCTCTGCCCCAGTACTGGGGCAGGCAGGTGATGAAAAGAGCATCCATCTTGACAGATAGCTTTTGTTTCGAAATAAACAACCTTTCTGTGTGTGTTTAGTTCAGCCGTAGTCATTTTACCAGGAAAAAATGTTTTCTTGAAATCCCATTTCTAGCAGACTACTGAATGTGCTGCAGTTCTTTTCCAGTTCTGTTCTGTGTTTTGCTGTATGAGTGTGCATCATCATCTGAGAGGCTGTTTATCTAAAAAGCCTCTAGGACCTAGTATTGAGAAGAAAGGCAAGGCAATTTCTGTCTTGATTTATATTTTCTTCACTTTATCTGTTGTCTTTTAAGCAGCTTCTCCTCTTAAGTCTGAGCTGAATATGCTTGCCTCATGTTGTCATGATTATGCATAAATTAAACCCAAGATATCTGATGATTTCTTTTTTTTACCTACACTTCCACTTTTAAAACCTGGGCTGTAAGCACTTTTACCCGCTGACAGCTGCTCTACAAAGCAGAAGTTTCTGCATTAGGATCTAATCATATTCATTCATGTCTCACAGGCCTGATATGATGTGTAACTGCAATAAATGGCTTGTAAATCTTGGTGCTCCAGTTCTTGAAAGATTCATTTCATCTTTTTAAAAGCTTTATAAACAGTTACTACTTATCACTCCCTGATGATAACCTCCTTTTATGTTGTCACAAGCTGAAGTGGACGTGCTTCAAACCAGCACTCATTTAAAAAGCTTGGTATTAAAACTCTGTCCAGGAATCCCACACAGGACTCCTTGCATGGGAAGAGTTGCATGTGTGCAGGTTGCTGTATCTGTGAAGGTGGAGTGTAGGTCGAGGGGATACAGGAACACGAACAAATACTGTGAAAGTTAATACAGAACCATTCAATTCTTCTAGTTTCTGCTACTGATTTTATTATTCTTTAGGTCGCTTCAATAAGGCAACATCTTGCGTCGATCTATGAGAAAGAAGAAGACTGGAGAAATGCAGCACAAGTGCTGGTGGGGATCCCTTTGGAAACAGGGCAAAAGTACGTTACGCATGGTTCTGTGCTGTTACATGTACTTGCTCTCTTTGTACTTAACTAGATCAGCGAGTGAGAATTTTTGGGTTGCATATTTTCCCAGAGCTGCTGTAGTTCAGGCCAGACTTCTGTCAGATGACAGAAGTATAGCTCAATGAATGTATATTTCAGTAAGAGTTTAGTGGGTCAAAATCCTGCATCAGAAGTTAAGCACTAATAATTAGTCTTATTGATAAACAAGTCTTTTTAATAGTATTTTGCAAAAATGCTTCCAAGGTTACGGAAAGGTTCTTGAAAGGTGGCAGTTCTTCCATGTGTCCACCTTCTCAGTTCAAAATGAAGACATAGTTTGAAATGGGTTATTAGCAAATACAGTAGAGGATTCTTTTGTGTGTTTGTGGAGTGGGTTTTGTTTGGTTTGGATTTTTTAGATTTAGAACCCTTGCTGTTACTTTTCTCTGGCTGTCCTTCCTATCCTCTTTCTCTGCATGCAGAAGGAATTGCTGTAGGCTTTGCACTGCAAGTTTTCTTCTTAACTCAAGTGGCTCACCACTTGTGGCAAACTTCCAATCCACAAAAATCATATTATTATAACGTACATTTGTGTCTTGGTGGACAGCATTATTTCTACTGCTGTTTGTAGGGGCCAGTTCTATATTAGCATTCATCTCAAATTTCCTTACACTAAACAGAGAGCGCTAATTTTGGTGTTAGGGAAGAAGAAAGCAGGGTAAAGCAAATGTTACCAAGTGCTTGAGAATCACAA